ATTATATTTTAAATGTTAAAAAAAAGGAATATATATGAAGATTAATAATGTTCATCTCTGGGCAATGGTAAAAAAACAATTTTTATTTCCTTCTTGATGCCTCTTTATATTTCTATAAGGGTCATATATTGCTAATAATCATTAAAATATCCATTTCAATTTTTTAAATAAATAAATAAAAGCATTAGGAAAAAATAATAAAAAGAGAGCTGCTTTCCCTTAACAAACAACAAAAACTGCTATATGGGACCATAAATTTATATGCAGTCATTTGCTGAGCAACACTATTTGTACTTGGATCTTTTTTTTTTTTTTTTCTTTTCTTTTTTTAATATACATTCTGCCACTCTTTACCTTTTGCTTGGAGCATTTAGTTCTTTACATTCATTGTAATTACCAATAGGAAATTATTTACTTCTGCCATATTCTTCTTCTTCTTTTTTTATGTGTCTTAAGACTTCCTTATCTCTGTCTTTTCCTAATGCTTAAGGAGCTCTGGTGGCAAAGCGCCTAACGCATTTGACTGCCACTCCATGGAAGGAAAATTGGGCAATCTACTTCAGTAGTCATACCATCTTGGAAACCCAAGGAGCGGTCACTATGAATTGGCAGTGAGTTTTTGAGCTTCTGTGTTTAGCTGGTTATTATAGTGCAGCATTTGATTCCCTTTACTTTCTTTTTGTGTATATTTTTAAGACATTTTCTTAGTGGTTACTATGAATATTGAATTTAACAGGTTGTGTTTATAACATCGTAAGATAAATTGGTGCCAATTTAACTTCAGTAACATGCAAGAAATTCTATATTTTTATCATTCCTTTTCCCTTTTTGTTATTTTTATTATTATATTTCATGTGTCCTGTATCATTATTTTAACCTTGCTTTTTATGTATTTATTATTAAAAAACATGAAAGACCATACAGTTAGAATTATCTAGTATGAATACCTTATTACTGGCCCTTCTGTTTATCCATGCAGTTTCTTTTATTACAAATCTTTCTTTTTTCTGTATAGCTTTGAATTACTTTTTAGTCTTTTTCTTTCATCCACAAATCTCCCATTAGTATTTTTTCTAGGTTTGGTCTGGTGGATATGAATGCTTTTGGCTTTTATTTTTCTGGTAATGTTTTAATTTCACTTTTATTCTTGAAGGACAGTTTCACTAGTTATAGCATTTTTATTGACTTTTTTTTTTTTTAATTCCAGCACTTTAAATATATCATCCCATTGCCTTATGGCCTCCAAATGTTTCTGAGGAGAAATCAGTGTTCTTGTTGCTCTTGAGTTTCTACTTTTGATATCTTATCCTCTAATTCACTTGTTCTTCCTTCTACCTGATTAAATTGTTGATAAGTACTCCTATTGTGTTTTTCATTTCAGTTACTGTCCTTTTCAGTTGCAATACCTTTTCTCAGATCCTTATTTTGTTATAGTATTAGTTTCCTCATTTCTTTTAGCTCTTTATTCATGTTTATTCTCTTAAATATTTAATTATGTTCAACTTTGTTGTCTTATATTTGTTTGTTTGTTTGTTTTTTTTCATTATTTTATCTTCCCTAGATGCACTTTCACTCCCTTTATCATGTCCATTTGGTTGAGCCATTGTTTATCTTTTCTCTGTGTGCCTTGTGATTTTGTTGTTGTTGTTTTTTGTGGCATCGGAGTTTTGAGGCTGTTAAACCTCTCAGTTTTCCCCAATATTTGGTATTTTTCATACATTACTTTCTTCACACACACACACAAAATGTTTAAGCAGGCAGAGCCTTCAGCTTTTGCTCACTACTTCCTCTTCCTCTTTGTGATAGCTCTTTCTTACCTCTTGGTTTAATTTAAATTTGAAAGATCCAGGTCTAGGTTTTCATGTTTCTATATCTCCCAAATGCACGAGAGAAAATGCTGTAATACGTTTGCCCTCCAGTAGACACTGCCACTCAGGCAAGATATCATGCACTAATGAATCTATCCAACAGGGGACACAATTATCTCTCTCTGGTTGTTACTCCCTTCCTTTTTCTATTTCTGAAATCATGTTTTCAGTTGGAAAACCCAAACTCTGTGAGCCCCCTTCAGGTTTCTATATCTCCCAAATACACCAGAAAAGATGCTGTAATCAGTCTGTCCACCAGCAGGCACTGCAATTCAGGCAAGATATCATGCACTAATGAATCTTTCCAACAGGGGACACAGTCTTTTCTCTCTGGTTATTACTCCCTTCCTTTTTCTATTTCTGCAACCATGTTTCAGTTGGAAAATCCACACTCTGTAAGCCCCCTTCGGGGCTGGGTATTTCCCTCTCTTTTTGCCCAAAGCTTCCTTCTGTGCTCTGTGGAGTTGCTTACATCTGAGTTGGCATTCAGGTGAACCACAGGCAGACTCCTCCATTTAAGGAATTCTTCACCCCCAAAGAACCTCTGGGATATCTGTCTTGTTGGTTGCAAAGGCCCAGTGGCCCTGTGGTGACAGAGAGAGTAGTCTTCACTTAGGAGACCCACCTCCTGGCTTCACTCTAGGAAACTTTTTGTAGGAGCCAACAGTTACCAAGTGGGGGAGGGATTGTCATGCTTTGAATGGACCACCAGCAAGGTCTGCCTTGTTATCAGAAACAACTTCCAGTGTGTTGGCTGTGGGTATAGCCTCCACTCAAGATGTCTGCTTCCTAGCACACAGAAGCCTCAGTTAGCAGTTCTCAGTGCCAACTGGAAGTGGATGCAGACTAATCCAAACTGATCACCATTGAGGTGCATCCTGTTATTTTCATAGGCCTGAGCTATGAGGTACCCCAGAAGCAGATAGAGTGCAGACTATGGGAGCAGATGCCACTGCAAGGGCCTACTGTAGCAGTTCACAGGAGGCTTGCAAATAACAGAGGCCGTGTGTGGATGGGTAGTGAAGCTCCAAATAGACCCCCAGAGAGGTCTTCCTGGTTGCTATCAGGGCCCCCCACCCTGTACATGTTGGCTCTGGGTGTAGCCTCCACTCAAGATCCCTGCTTCTTAGTATATATCAGGCTCAATGAACAGAATTCAATGTTGACCAGAAAGGGTAGCAGACAGACCTGAATTCACTCCCCAGGAGGTTTCCCTTGTTGGTTTCAGAGGCATAAGCTATGGGGTACATAGGGAGGCAAGTAGAATGATGACTATGGGACAGATTGCACTGTAGGAACCTTCTTAAACAATTCACCATAGGCAAGCAACCAACAATTTTCCAGGTGAAGGAGATGCTAGCACACAAAGCACGAAGGAGATCTTCCTTATTGATTTTAGACCAGAAGCCTGGAGTCCAATTTCTTTTTGTACAGGCAGGTAGTATGGTGATTAGAGAAGCAGACTTTTTATGGGGGCTAATTTACCAATTCACAGCAGCCAGCAGCCTGCTTGTCTAGAAGGAGGGGCAGGGACTGTTGGAGAAGAGATTTTCATACCTTGTACTAAATGTTGATTTGTTGATTCTTTCCTATTTGCAGTTCTCAGGTGCTTTCTCTGCTCCCTGGCTCAGAGTCCCTCAAGCCAAACACCATTTCCTTGTATTTCTCATTCTAATAGTGGAGGAAGGTTAGAATGATGGTCTGTTTACACCACACCTTCCAGGAATCTATGTGTATAATGATTTTTTAATTGCTCTCCTTTTTTTTTTTTTTTTTTTTTTTGTCTATTTTCAACAACAACAACAATTCCCTGGAACTTTCCTTATATCTCTGTACATTATCTAGCCACTTGTATAAGTGTGTTGAGATAAAGTAAAGAATAATGGTTGCTATGTGGCTTAAGAGACCTCTTAACTCCATGTATTCTAGGTTCTTGAGAAATTCCAAACATTGGTGTCAGTAATAGATGTGGCTTGTGCTGAGGTCTAGTCTCTGGGTATGTGTTGATATGAGGTTGTAGGCTTGGAAATCTGTTGGAGGTCTATCCTCTCAAAATGCTAAGCTGATGTTTCTTTATATTTTCTGAGAACCCCAACATCAGCCTACAAAATGATGTTTCTTTACATTCTTATTATATTTTGCAGAAAAAGGAGCATGAACTCATACTAAATAAATCAACAAATGCTTATACTGCTGGGAAGACGACATACCCCCCAAACATGCCAAAGGAACAGACCCAACTAGAGACCTTGAATACATCTTCAATCTCAGTAAAACCTCCTGAAGAGAAGGCTTCTGAAAGCAAAAAGACTTACAACAGCATCAGCAAGATTGATAAAATGTCCCGAATTGTATTCCCAGTGCTCTTTGGCACTTTCAACTTAGTTTACTGGGCAACATATTTGAATAGGGAGCCAGTAATTAAAGGAGCAGTCTTTCCAAAATAAATCTCTGGACTCCCAGTGTTCAAAAGAGCCATACTTCAAGTGACATGGTACCAAGGACAGGTTGAGCTCAAAGGGACTTTTGTAATGTGGGCAATATCTTTTAGGAAATGTTTGCATGTTTATTAGTATGTACAAATAATCTTGCTTTGATTGTTTCTATATTTAACCCAGATGGTTCAAAGATATCACCTTGATAAATAGAGCAAACCTAGAAAAACAAGAGACAGTTGACTCTGAAACTCAGATGCTCAGTATCTTACGTTGATAGTTTACAAGTCAGACAAATATATTTTTAACTACTCCAAATGTTACTAAACAATTCTTTTTATACTTCAAATGTCATTTCATACAAATTTTCCCAGCCAAAAAAAAAAAAAAATTAGGAAATGCTCCATGATTATTACCTGAAAAAATATTGCAAGAAACAAAGATCATGAAGAATGTGTTTTTAATTAAAAGGAGCTGTTGGCATTTATGTACAACATTAATTGCTTTTGATAATTCATATTGTTCTGAAAGATACTGCATGATCTTACATTAAGAAATAGGATAGGCAAATATGTATGCAGATAAATTTAATAATGGAAGATTATATATTATATTCACTGATAACATTTTTATCCTATAGAAAAATTAAACTTCTTAAAAAAAAAGTTTACTGCCCACTCTCTAGCTCTCATTAACTAAATGATTATGAAAACAAAGGACAGATCAATGGCATCTGGGCTGTGAATGAACATGTTTAGAACTTGACAGTACTCTCCCTGAGGTCAGGCAGTGCTTTGGTGCCAAGATATCTTGATGAGTTATTTCCATTTTATTTCCTTGTATATATTTCATGATTGGCTTATTGCTTTGTCAGTTTTTGTATATGAATCTTATATGTTCATTAAATCATAAAGAATGAGATAATCTTCTGAGCATATGTCATTTTAAAAAATTATGTTGTTGTTGTTGTTGTTATGTGCCGTCGAGTCGGCCCCGACTCATAGCGACCCCTCCTTGGGTTTCCGAGGCAGTATCACTACGGAAGTAGGATTGCCCAACCTTCCTTCCGAGGAGTGGCTGGTGGGTTTGAACCACCAGCCGTCTGGTTAGCAGGCCACTATCTTAGCCACTATGCTACCAGAGCTCCCTCCAAAAAATTATATTAGTGAACTCAATTCCTAAAGATTACATTTAAAAACCCCATCATGAAATTTCTTGGGGGAAAAAAAAATTCCTACTTGGCAGCTCACCTGTTTCCAATCTAATCTGCTAGAGTAACATTTGGATAGAATGCTTATTTAATTACATGGTCAGCGTGAGTGGATAAAGCAGACATAGTCCCCTATCTTATTTGCTTTCCATTATTGATTTGAGGGTATTCCCATGGAGGGCATTTATTGTGCACAGACTAACTGCTCTTTCTGTGTCCTCTTCTCTTTTGCTTCTTGTGAATGCTGATGAAAAGTACCACATTTGACCCATGTCTTTACTGTTTGAGGAAGTATCCAGGAAAGATATGGATGAATGTGAATAAAAGAATGCTTCCTACCACCTTCTTCACTATCTTGAAATTCTGCAGTCATGAAAGTTGAGCTATGACTATTAGCAAATAATATAAAATATTAACCCTGTCTAAATTGACTGATTAATGGCATTTACTTCTTCAAAATCCATCCACATCTATTGTGTTTGGTAGATGCAGACATGGGTTATAGGCATGGATATAACTGTTGGTATGTAAATACCCTTAGTATCAAATCTCTTGAAACTCTGAACATTTGCCCTGGAAAATCTTTATATGGGGTTGAAACAGAGTCATCATATTTCACTTGAGTCTTGTGAAGCATTCATAGAATTGCTAAGTTCTTCCAAGACAGGTGCCTCTTTTCAGTTATCTCTGTTTCTTTCAATATACAAATACCATTGCTTGTTTCTATAACTGGTAGAAGGACAATGTCAATGAGAAGAGTGCTCTTAAATATTAACACCATTTCTCTACTACAAACGGTGATGTGGTTGTCGATAATTTGTATGTTTTTCACTTCACCACAGCAAAAAAACTTACCATTACAAAAAGAAAGAAAGCCTAAGGTTCAACATGAAATTTTGGTTTTCAGTTATTGCTTTAGTAGCATTTCTCTTATATAGATTTTATAGTTCAAATTTCACATTGTAGATGGTAGGAAAGATGTAAAATATGTCTAAATGGTTACAGATGAAGTAATCCCCTTTGAAAATCTCAATTCTAGAAGAAAATTTCTTCTGTGTCAGGTCACAATAATTTTCTTGATGTATTTCTGTCCTTGCTACAGACTTTACAAGCTCAGCTGGATAAATTCCAGTTTTAAAACATTCCTACCTCATTTACATGCTGCTGAACCTTAAATCTGATGAATATTTAGTGAAAATATCACATTAGATTTCTGCTTTCTGATTTTGTATTGTACATCTTTCAGTGTTTGCTATTTTTAATGAGGGCAAAAGAGAAAAGTTACCATGGGAAAATAGCAAAGCAAAAAATAAAAATGTTTAAAAATGATTGTAATTAAAGCATCCTACTTTTAGAAGTGGAGTATTTAGATACATCTCTTTTGACATCATCAGTAATAGAGAATATTCTAATATATCAGTGATCCCTATTACTTCTATACTTTCTTGTTGTTTTTAGGTGCCAGTGAAGTTGTTTGCGACTCATAGCGATCCCATGCACAGCAGAACAAAACACTGCCCAATCCCACGCCAGCTCCATGATCCTTGCTATACTTGAGCTCATTGTTACAGCCACTGTGTCATTCGATCTTGTTGAAGGCCTTCCCCTCTTTTGTCGACCCTCCTCCTTACCAAGCATGACATTCTTCCCCAGGGAATTGTCCCTTCTGACAACATGACCAAAGTAGGTGAGACGAAGTCTGGCCATTCTCTCTTCTAAGGAGAATTTCGGCTGTGCTTCCTCCAGAATAGATCTGTTAGTTCTTTTAGCAGTCCATGGTACTTTCAACATTCTTCGCCAGCACCACAACTCAAAAGCATCAACTGTTCTTCAGTCTTCCTTATTCATTGTCCAACAGTCATATGCATACAAGGCAATTGAAAATACCATGGCTTGTGTCAGGCGCACCATAGTCCTCGAGGAGACATCCTTGCTCCTCAGCACTTGAAAGAATTCCTTCACAGTTGACCTGCCCGGTGTTACACACCATCTAATGTCCTGAATGCTGCTTTCATTGGTGTCGATTGTAGAACCAAACAATGTGAATTCTTTGACCTCAATCTTTTCTCCATTTATTATGATGCTGCTTATTGGTCCAGTTGTGAGGATTTTTGTTTTCTTTATATTGAGATGCAATCCATATTGCAGACTGTATTCTTCAATCTTCATTAGTAAGTGCCTCAAGTCATCCTCACTTTCAGCAAGCAAAGTTGTATCATCAGCATATCTCAAGTTGTTAATGATTTTTCCTCCAATCCTGATGCCATGTTTTTCTTCATATAGTCCAGCTTCTCAGATTATTTGCTCAGCATATAGATTGAATAAGTATGGGGAAAGGATACAACCCTAACACACTCCCTTCTTGATTTTAAATAATGTAATGCCCCTTTGTTCCGTTCGAACAACAGCCTCCTGGTCAAGGTACAGGTTCCTCACAAGTGCAATCAAGTGTTCGGGAATTCCCATTCTTCTCAATGTTATCCATAATTTGTCATGATCCACACAATCAAATGCCTTTGCATAGTCAACAAAACACAAGTAAACATCTTTCTGGTATTCTTTGCCTTAAGCCAAGATCCATCTGACAACAGCTATGATATCCCTTGTTCCACGTCCTCTTCTGAATCCAGCTTGCACCTCTGGGAGTTCTCTGTGAATATACTGCTGCAATTGTTTTTGAACTATTTTCAGTAAGATCTTATTTGTGTGCGATATTAATGATATTGATCAATAATTTCCACATTGTGTGGGATCACCTTTCTTTGAAATGGGTAAAAATATGGATCTCTTCCAGTTAGTTGGCCAGGTAGCTGTCTTGCAAATCTCTTGGCTTAACCAAATGAGTGCCTCCAGTGGGGCATCCATTTGTTGAAATACTTCAATGAGTATTCCGTCAATTCCCGGAACCTTGTTCTTTGTCAGTTCCTTCATTGCAGCTTCAACTTCCTCCTTCGGTACCATTGGTTCTAGGTCATATGCGACCTCCTAAAATGGATGAAGATCAACCAGTTATTTTTGGTACAGTGACTATGTGTGTTCCTTCCATCTTCATTTTTTTTTTTTAATTTTATAATTTTAATTAACGTCACGCATACATTTAGTTTCATTTCCCATTTGCCGTGTCCAACCCTAACCCACTATCCTCCCCTCCCTACCCTGCAACCCTCCCCCTGTGCCCCTCATAATTATGCACTCCAGTTTGTCCTGCATTTTCTCAGTTTGAATGCTGGTCCTTTGATGTCCCATGGTCTATTGCTATAAGGGATGTATTACCATTGAGTGTGTGGGTGCGGCATCCTGGGTTAAGTGGTCTGCGTATACATCTTGTTAACTATTGGGCTGAAAACCCACCCCTGTGGGTGAGTTTTATTCCAGGCGCCAAATGTATTTCAGGGCCATAGCATTGGGAGTCTCACCAGACTTCATCTGATCAGTAATTCTGGTCATTATTGGGTTTTTGGATTTTGTTCCACGTTATCCCTCCCACTCTATCCAGGATCTCCAGATTTGATCCTTTCCTGACTGGTTGGCATTGGTAGCTGGGCACCATCTTGTTCTTCTGGTCTCAAGGGCCATCGTGTCCTAGGGTTGCTTGCTTCTAAATGCCCTCCCTTTTTTTCCTGTATGTGTGTGTGTGTTCTTCTTCGCTTCTGATGCTAGGAGACCTTTAGCTGCATCATAGATGGCTGATTGAAAGCTTTTAAGACTCCATTTGCTACTCACCAATGTAGGATGTGGAGCAATGCTTTTATGTATTTTGTTGTGCCAATTGAGTCTGGTGTCCCCAGTACTATGGTCCTGAGGCAGTAGATTTATTGGATCTCTCTCCCATAGTGTCTGGATGTCTGTGAGGGATTACTCTGTGTCTGTCTTCTATTGTTTCTGTAAGGACTGCAGGTATTTTGTATCACTGGTGTTTGTACAAGATTAGTCTCAGATAAGTCTATCCTTGGTCTAGAGTATACCTCTATTCACTGACCCCTGTCTGATCATCTCAGGTGTTTATGTGTTTATCTGTATAGTCTAGTGTTTGGTGTTAATGGCAATGTGGTATTGTGGACACATTTGTTGGTTTTAGCATCTGTTGTCTATCTCTTATGTGCACAGTTTGGTGTCCTCTCATTTCCCAATGTTATCATGGTGGTCATATATCCTTCCCATATATCTCTCTCTCCTTCCATCTTTTTTGATGCTTCCTGCATCATTCAATATTTTGCCCATAGAGTCTTTCAATATTGCAACTCGAGGCTTAATTTTTTTCCTCAATTGTTTCAGCTTGAGAAATGCAGAGCATGTTCTTCCCTTTTGGTTTTTTAACTC